CAAGACTTTTTTTTTTTTTTTTTTTTTTTTTTTTTTTAGTTTTTATTTGAACACAGTATTCTGACAGAATGCAAAGTCAAAATCCTCAGTTAGTATCAGTATTTACACCAGTGAGAATGGGGATAAAGGTGGAGTCGATGTTTCACTCGGTAAAAAGATTTTTTGTTTTTTTCTGTTTTTTAACAAGATAGAAGGCCCCCAAAAGTAGGGAATGCTGGGGAAGGATGGCCATGGAGGGGCTGAGAACAACTACCAAAACAGCCTGGTGGTGAAAGACGCGGGGTCCGAAGGCTCCATGGAAAAGTGTGAAAAGAAAACGCCACTCTGGAAGCTGACGGGCGGGATGCACTACTGTCACCGGCACGAATGGTGCAGCACGAGATGGCACCGCTCCTGTGACACTGGGGACAGGCAGGGGGCGGCCACGGCAGCGCCACCAGCCCCGGGACGGACACACGGAGCCACGGCAGTGTACGGCCGCGCGGAGCCACGGCAGTGTCACCATCCCTGGGGATGGGCACACAGAGCCACGGCAGTGCCACCAGCCCCGGCATGGACACACGGAGCCACGGCAGTGCCACCAGCCCCGGGATGGGCACACAGAGCCACGGCAGTGCCACCAACCCTGGAACAGCCATGGCAGTGTCACCAACCCCGGGGATGGACACACGGAGCCATGGCAGTGTCACCATCACTGGGGATGGGCACACAGAGCCACGGCAGTGCCACCAACCCTGGAACAGCCATGGCAGTGTCACCAACCCCGGGTATTGACACACGGAGCCATGGCAGTGCCACCAACCCTGGAACAGCCATGGCAGTGTCACCACCCCCAGGGATGGGCACATGGAGCCATGGCAGTGTCACCACCCCCAGGGATGGACACACAGCCATGGCAGTGCCACCAACCCTGGAACAGCCATGGCAGTGCCACCAGCCCCGGCATGGACACATGGAGCCATGGCAGTGCCACCAACCCCGGGATGGACACACGGAGCCATGGCAGTGCCACCAACCCCGGGATGGACACACGGAGCCATGGCAGTGCCACCAACCCCGGGATGGACACACGGAGCCATGGCAGTGCCACCAACCCCGGGATGGACACACGGAGCCATGGCAGTGCCACCAACCCTGGAGATGGACACACGGAGCCACGGCAGTGCCACCAACCCTGGAACAGCCATGGCAGTGTCACCAACCCCGGGGATGGACACACGGAGCCATGGCAGTGCCACCAACCCTGGAGATGGACACACGGAGCCACGGCAGTGCCACCAACCCTGGAACAGCCATGGCAGTGTCACCAACCCCGGGATGGACACACGGAGCCACGGCAGTGCCACCAACCCTGGAACAGCCATGGCAGTGTCACCAACCCCGGGATGGACACACGGAGCCACGGCAGTGCCACCAACCCTGGAACAGCCATGGCAGTGTCACCATCCCTGGGGATGGGCACACGGAGCCATGGCAGTGCCACCATCCCTGGGATGGGCACATGGAGCAGTCACAGCAATGCCACCAACCCTGGAGCAGCCACGGCAGTGCCACCAACCCCAGGGATGGACACACAGAGCCATGGAAGTGCCACCAACCCTGGAACAGCCATGGCAGTGTCACCACCCCCAGGGATGGGCACATGGAGCCATGGCAGTGCCACCAACTCCGGGATGGACACATGGAGCCATGGCAGTGCCACCAACCCTGGGGATGGACACACGGAGCCACGGCAGTGCCACCAACCCTGGAACAGCCATGGCAGTGCCACCATCCCCGGGATGGACACACGGAGCCCTGGCAGTGCCACCAACCCTGGGGATGGGCACACAGAGCCATGGCAGTGTCACCAGCCCCAGGGTGGACACACGGGCCATGGCAGTGTCACCAACCCCAGGGATGGGCACATGGAGCCATGGCAGTGCCACCAACCCTGGGGATGGGCACCTGGAGCAGTCACAGCAGTGCCACCAACCCCAGAATGGACACACAGAGCCACGGCAGTGCCACCACCCCTGGAGCAGCCATGGCAGTGCCACCAGCCCCAGCATGGACACACGGAGCCATGGCAGTGTCACCAACCCCAGGGATGGGCACACAGAGCCACAGCAGTGCCACCACGCTCAGGCTGGCCCAGCACATGTGTGGGGAGGGTCACTGAAGGAGCTGCTCCCTCAGTGCCACCCCCAGACTGTCACCGGCGCTGGGCTGGGCTCTGAGCTCGTCCCCTTTTGGGACAAAACCTCCAGCCCAGGTGAGGATCTCCCCCAGTGCCTCTGGCAGCTGCTGGTGGAGGTCCCCGGGCAGGTTTTTGGGGATGGTGCTGTGGCTCCTACCAGCTGCTGAGCTTTGGGGGTTACAGCACACACAGGTGACAAAACCAGCCAGAACTGGGCACAAAAAGGGACAAACTGTGCTCGGGCACGGGGATGGAGGCACCGCTGCTGCCCGGCTGGTTTGTGGACTCGTTTCTTTGGGGAAAAGAAAGGAATCCTCGGGATCAAGGTCCCCAGAGGCCAGGGACACTGCCGCGAGGGTGTCACCAGGGCTGGGTTGGGGGCAGCCTCGGGCTGCACCCTCCCCGTGCCCCCCAGGAGCTGAGCAAAACAAAACCAAGAAACCCCACAGTTAGCAAAGACAAGAGCATTGTTTCTCACAGCTGGGATGGTGGGATGCCACTGGAACAGAGTGCACATTCCCAAAAAACACACGGACACAGCCTCCACAGCCCTCCTCCTCCTCCTGGAACGCCAGAGTCACCTCGGCTCGCTTCTCTCCTTTCAAGGCTTCTGCTCTTTGTAAGAGTTGTTCTCTTTCTCTCTTTGTTTTAAATTATTTTAATTCCTGAATGTTTATTTTTTTTTTATTTTTCTCAAATCTGAACTAGCGCTACACCTTCCACATCCAAACTATGTTGAAGCTTTTATTATTTCAATACTATGACAAAAAACACGGTTCACACTAAAATAGTCACGCACCCACAGTGCACAAGCTTGCAGATCTAAAGTAGAATTAAAAAAAAAAAAAAGAAAATAAAAGGGAAAATAAAATAAAAATTAAAAAAAAAGGAGGAAATAATATCCAAAACCCCAACAGGAGGAACCTCTCTATACAATGGGCTGGTCTCTCCCTACACTCCTCTGCCTTCCTTCTGCTCAAAGCTCCTTTTCACCCCCAAATCTCAGTGTGCTCCACGATTCCTGAAAATAAATCCCATGGATCAGCTCCCCCACCCCAAATCTCAGTGTGCTCCATGATTCCTGATAACAAACCCCATTGATCAGCTCCCCCATCCATAATTTAGTTTTTAGGGTGCTGCCTCAGCCCTTGCCCAGGGATGGCCCTGGCACAGAATTCCAGCCCCTGCTCTTGATTCCAGGGCTGGGTCCTGCTGGAGCTGGACCTGCAGGAAGGGTCTGGGGTCTGCCCAGCACCTGTGGGATAAAAATCTTTACTTCTGGGTTTGTTTTAGGCTTAGAGGTCACGGTATTTTCTGAAATGGGTGTTTACTGAAATTGAGATTTTCTGAAATTTGGATTTTTCTGAAACTGGGACTTTCTGAAATTGGGACTTTCTGAAATTGGTGTTTACTGAAATTGGTGTTTACTGAAACAGGAATTTACTGAAATTGGTGTTTACTGAAATTGGTATTTTCCAAAATTGCTATTTACTGAAATTGCTATTTTCTGACATGGATATTTTCTGAAATTGGCATTTTCCAAAACTGGAATTTGCTGAAATTGGAATTTACTGAAGTTGGGATTTTTCTGCAACTGGAATTTTCTGCCCTGATCAGGAGGGATGGATTTGGTCACACACCTGAGCCCAGACCAGCCCAAACTGTCCAACCTCCCTTGTGCTCCCCAGAGCTGCGGGAGGGCTCCGTGAAGGAAAGGGGAGAATGTCCTAAAAAAGCAGAGATGATATTTCTCTTATGCAGTCAGGCCCAGGTCCAGCGAGGGACTTCAAAACTAAATTTAAGCACAGAAGGATTTTCTCCAGCAAACCCCAAGCAGGTTTGGGGATTGCTGGGTAAAGCCCTTGACTGGTGGCAAGTGGTTTGAACACCCCCACCCCCCAAAAAAACCCCAAACCAAACCCCAGCATCGCTTTTCTTCTTACTCCAGTAAGAAATAATAATAATAATAATAACAATAATAATAATAATAACAATAATTAAGAAAAGAGAAAAGGGGAAACGACTACTGTAAACATCCATGGTTGAAAATGTCTCCCTTTGCAAAGCAAGCATGCTGCTACCCTAGTGTCTACAGGACTGGATTGACTGAAAAACCAAAAAAAAAAAGAAAAAAAAGGCAGCTATTTTACACATCCATTTCAACACAACAGAAGTTAAAAAAATATCTGTCAATTGTAAACACTGGAAAGAACCAAAGTTGGCCAAAACAACAAAAGAAAAAGAAAAAAAAAAAATTGAACGTAAAATTGGAAAAAAGAAATGTAGAGTCTGAATACTGCAAATTGAAATACATCCCCCAAAGCTGCAATTTTGGCATTCTTCCTAAAAAACAGATAATAATAATAAACCCCAAATAAAGGTCTAACGTGGCGAGCAGGATTCAGTCACAAAGAGCTCGAGACACTTTGCATACTGACCAGATACAAGGTGAACAGAAATTATAACTTATTTATGAGGCTTTACATATTTCAAACTCGACTGAAAAGTATAAAAATAAATTGTGGACTTTGTTCTTTAAGCACCAGCTGTGCCCAGCAGCACAGTGGTTATCTCTGCTATACTAACAAAGGAAACAACAGGGTCTCTTTTCTCTTTTTTTTTGTCTTTTTTTGTGGTTTTTTTTTTTGTGTCTAGGACTACTTGATTTTGAGCTTCCCGACCACATTGCAACCAGCATTGCAATGTTTGCCTGTTTGAATATACACAGGGCCAGCTGGGCCCTGATTTGGTGACGGGTTTAACCCTGTTTTAAACATGTTTTACTTTTTAAAAGCAAGTGCACAACGAATAGAACCTTTCTAGAAATCTCAAAGAAAGCAAAAAATAGAAATTAAAATTAAAAAAAAAGATGAAAATAAGAGAAAAAAAAAAAAGGAAAAAAGAGACATTCCCTCCCTCCCTCCCCCCATTGATGCATTTTTCTGGTTGGTTTGTTTGTCTTTCTTTTTTTAAAAAAAGGCAACAGACACTAGAGGAATGAGATGGGTGTGTGGGTTGTGATTTCAATGCTCGGGTGAAGGTTTCCGCCGTCCCCTCCGCGGTGCTGATCATGCTTTGCTCTCGCTCTCGTTTGTTTGTGTGGCTTCGTTGGGCACCGTCTTCACTTCTGCCGGGGGGCTCTTCCTGTCCTGCACGGCGCCTTTGTCCTCTGCTGGCATTTTCCTGGGGAGAAGCACCACAAGGACAGGGTTTAGAGGCACACAAACACAGGCTGGGAACCGATCCCGCTGGGAGAGCAGAGCCGGAATTCCCTGAGCAGGAGTAAGGAGAACCGAGCTCAGCTCCCCCACCCTGCTTCCTTTAGGTCCAGATTAACTTTTTTTGGCTTGCCCTGGCTTGGTTCAGGACTGAGCTGCCAGAGCAGCAAAGGAAACCTCCCCCAGCTGCAGAAGGATTTGGCTTTAGCACCCCCAAGTCCCTGACAATTTAGCAGCAATCCCATTTTTTGTGCTCCTATGGGAAGCCAGTCCTGAAATCCCCGGGATGCTGGAGAAAGGGGAACACAGAAGACAGGAATTCTGTCACAGACACTTTCACAAGCCTGAGGGAGGTGACCACCCTCAGAGGTGACAACTGCCAGCCCGGCCAGGGTCCAACATCTGCAGCACAGCTGGGACCCCCCAGCCCCCTGGGGCTGCTCTCTCTCTCCTGCCCAGCTCCGGGTGCTCTCCCCTCTCTCAGCCAGGCTCATGCTGCCCCAGCTTGGGGACAACTCCAGAGCTCCCAGTGCTGCCACCCCTGCCCAGGGCACTGCTTGCTGCCCAGCCTGACCCCGAGTGAGCCCTGAGGCTCCTCTGACCTGCACGAGATGGGATCTGGGGGCTGTGCTCGCTGACCTGCAGGACCTCAGCACCCTGAGGAGACCAAACTGGACTGTTTCTGCTCTTCCTTATGAAAGAATATCCCAGGACAGACAAAGCTGCCCAAGAGCCTGAGGAACCACACATTTCTGACCAACTCCCAGCTTCCTGTCCCCTGCCTCCCTGGCACAGCCTATCCCTGCTCTCCTCTGGCACCTTCCAAGCCAAGCCCCGTGGGCTCTCAGGTGAGTTAGGTGGCTAAGGAAACAGCGAGATTAGTCAAGAGAACACCCAACAGAGGACACAGCACGAGCACCAGGGCACGAGGGACACAGCACACAACCAACACAAGAGTAAAGGTGGCCGTACTCGGTCTTTGCGGGGGCAGAGCTGTCTGCAGCGGCAGCAGCAGGCTCGGGGGCTTGCCCACCAGCCCCGCTGGCAGCAGGAGGAGAAGCAGTGCCAAGAGCTGCAAAAACATCCTTGGCAAGGTCAATGTCTGGTGGCTTGAAGGTCCCTTCGTCCATTTTAAAGTCCTCGTTCTGCGAGGGGTTGGCGGCGCTGCCCGAGGCAGCCTCGCTCTTCACGTTGCTCGGGTTCTTGGGGGTCTCTGCTGGGCTCTTCACCGTGCTGGGCTGCACAGGCTCCTTCTCGGGGCTCTTGGCCACCTCCTGCTTGGCCTCTGAGGGAGCTGCAGGGCTCGTGAGGTTGGCAGGGCTGGGGGCGGCCGCCTTGCTCCCGGCACCGGCGGCGTCGGCGGCGCTGGGGCTGAGCACGGCCTGCCCCGGCAGGACACTTGAAGATAAATTACTGGTGGCCGGAGCGGAGCTGGGGGTGTCGCTGAGATCAACAAGAGGGGCCACTTTGGGGGTGGAGGAGGGCGGCGGTGACGACGCCGGGGCGGCGGCCGCGCCTTTGGCCGGGGTGGCCTGGCCGGGGCCGGCGGCGTCGGGAGCGGCCGCGGCCGGAGGGGCAGTGCTGGAGGTCAGCGTGGTGCTCTCGCTGGTGGGGCTGTTCTGGGCAGTGGCAAAGGTTTCAGTGATAGTGTCAGAGTTAGTGGTGCCCGTGGTGACAGAAGGCAGCATGTCCTCCACGGTGGCCGCGGTGTCGGCGGGGTGCCTGCGAGGGGGACACGGGGACGAGAGAGAGAGAGAAACAGAGAAAGAGAGAGAGAGAGAGACAATGAAGGCCCGAAACGACAGCAGGGAGAGGGGGCAGAGAGGGAGAGTGAGGACAGCACACACACGTGACGTGGAGGGGGACTGAGGAGCAGAGACATGCAGAGGTCAGACATGCAGAGGGAGCCAGGCTGGGATGGCTGAGGATCATCAGGAAGAGGAAAAGGCCAAGAGGACGTGACCTGCAGGAATGGTTTGTTCACGTGCACTGTCTGGGCTGAGGCAAATGGATCCTGTCAGCTTGCAGAGACTCTTCTCACCTACAACTCTCCTCTCAGCCTGCTGGTCCTGACCTCTCCAGGCAGCTCTGCCAACCCCCTGAGCCTGCAGCCCTGTGCCACCAACACAACACGGTGCCAGCATGGCACCCTGCATCCAGCCCCTGCTGCAGGTCTGTCTGAAGGCCTGCACAGCCCCCCTCGGACCCAAACTCCTTCCTCACACATGAGTGCAGACTCCCAGCTCTCTCTCAGAATGCTCAGCCTTGCTGTGACTCCACATCCTGGGGAGGATCTCTCCCCACGGCTTCAGCTCTCACCCAGCACTGCTGGGGCAGGGCTCGCTCTGGATCCTTTGCAGCGACCCTGGACAGTGCTGGATCTCCACGTGGGACAGAGCCTTTCAGGAAACGCTGCTTCCTTCCCCTTTCCCTTCCAGTGCTGGCAACAGCAACCACTGAAGCTCGACAGGAGGCACTTCCTCACTGGCACGTGGAGATTTTACCTTTCTTCCTCTCTTCCTGCCCTAACGGGTGTTCCTGAGGGACTGGGGCAGCTGAGGGCAATGCAGTGACCCTGTGCTAGGGCTGCCTAAGGCCACATACTCTGGCTCTGTCAGCGGGGTGGTCTCGTTGGGCTCCGTGTGCTTCCCCCCGTCGTGGTTGGGGGTCCTCTCCTCCTCCGTCCGCACCTCCACGATCGGCTCCTTGGACTCATCCTTCCTGTAACGAGGAACAGCATGGGGAGTGATGGCTGCTCCTGCAGAGACAGCCTGCACACGGCCACAGGGAGACACGGCACGGGCTGAGCAGGGAGAGCTCCGGGGTCACTGCTCCCGCTCCGGGGTCACTGCTCCTGCCAGCACCCAGCACTGAGCTCCAGGGTCACTGCTCCTTCAACACCCAGCATTGAACTCCAGGCTGTCCAGCACCGGCGTGTCCAGAACTGGAATGTCCAGCACTGGGATGACTAGGACATCCAGAACTGGGATGTTCAGCACTGGGATGTCCAGCACTGGGATAACTGGGATGTCCAACACTGGGATGACTGGGATGTCCAGCACTGGGATGTCCAGAACTGGGGGTGTCAAGCTCTGGGATGTCCAGCACTGGATGTCCAGCACTGGGATGTCCAGCTCTGGGATGTCCAGCACTGGGATGTCCAGCACTGGGGTGACTCATTTTGTGACGTCTGGAATGTCCAGCACTGGGATGACTGGCGTGTCCAGCACTGGGATGTCCAGCTCTGGGGTGTCCAGCACTGGGATGTCCAGCACTGGGGTGACTGGCGTGTCCAGCACTGGGATGTCCAGCTCTGGGATGTCCAGCACTGGGATGTCCAGCACTGGGATGTCCAGCACTGGGATGTCGAGAACTGGGATGACTGGGATGTCCAGCTCTGGGATGTCCAGCACTGGGGCTTCTCCCATCCCTGCTGGGATAAAGCCTGGGAAGCAAAGAGCAGAATCCCTGCTGTGCACGCAGGGCAGGGCTCCTGCTTCCCTCCTCCTCCTCCTCAAGAGGAAGGTCCAGAGTGGCCCTGGCCCTGCCCAAGGGGCAGTGGAAGCAAAGCCCAGAGTCTGCAGCAGGTTTTCCTGGTGGGATGCAGATCTCTGGGGGATGCTCAGCGCTGGTGAGTCCCTGGGTGGTGACACTGAGTTAAAGCCCTCCTGGAGCCCAGGTGAGCCCCAGCTCTGCAGAACCTGCTCACGGCCCCCCAGCCTCTCACCACCCCACCCCTGCAGCCCCAACCCCCTGGAATCTTTGCTCTGCAGAGCAGAACACCTTGATCCCCCACTTGGACAGGTGAGAAGACCCTTCCCAGGGCTCCAGCCAGAGCCACAGCCTCTGCCATGCATTTGTCTGGTTAAAAACAGGAGGCAGAGAGGTGTTTCATTTTGTGACGCCGGGATGGATCAAGGAGTGCAGATTCCAGCAGGAAAAGTGCAGAAAAGCCACCGTGAGGCACCTGAGTGACTCTGGTCCAGAGTCCATCACAAGTCCAGCCCATGTGAGCAGAACACTGTCCCACAGCCCAGCCCCTGCCAGCAATCTGACCATGACACGGCTTCACCACCCTCTGATGCCTGCAGGGAGTGAGGAGGGCAGGGATTTTCCCTTTGGGTGTGCTCGGGATCCTTGCAGGGATGATTCAACAACTCAGGTGCTCCTGGAGCTGTGTCACACTTCCCATCCACCCCTCTTTGTGGGCAGGAGCTCCTGAGGCTGAGCCAAGGGCACCAGACTTCCCTGGGTGCCTCCAGAGCTGCAATATTCCCCTTCTAGAGAATTCCCCTCACACCAGAGTGCTGCTCGGTGCCTCCTCTCCCCACTCCAGCTTTTCCAGGAGCTGTCACCCCCAAATTCCTGCTCTGGCAGGCACAGACCCCTGTGCTCCCCCAGAGCCCCGAGGAGAGCCCCGAGCAGGTACCAACCCTGCTCCTCTGCCCCAGGAGGAGGAGGAGGATGGACCCTAACCCTAACTCCAGCTTTTCCAGGAGCTGTCACCCCCAGATTCCTGCTCTGACAGGCACAGAGCCCCGAGGAGAGCCTCGAGCAGGTACCAACCCCTGCCCTGCTCCTCTGCCCCAGGAGGAGGAGGAGGATGGAGCTGGGGAGAAGCAGGGCAGGCCTGCAGAGCAATGTCCCTGTTCTTGTGCTATTCTGGGATTCCACACCTCACACAAGGGAACTGGGCCAAGGTAACTGCCTGCAATTTGGGTTTCTAGGCTGGCAAGGCAGCCCTGCAATTTGCAGGAACCTTCCAACCTTTTCCATTAGCTGTGGTTTCATAAATCCTAACTCGTGGCATGAATTGAGATTCCAAACCTTCCAGGGACTGGCATAAGGAAACATTATAAATATAAATATAAAAATCCTCCACCACCCTGTGGACTCAGGAGGCTCTTGGTGCTGCCTTTCTTTTTCCTTGTAAAGGAATTTTGCTGCTCCTACAAAATGCAGGAATCATAGTGGAGATTATTCTTTTCACAGATTGTCCCACCTGATTAAATTAAATTGATCTCCAAATACTTTCTGGAACCATTCCCTCCACCCTGTAGCTGGATTTATGTTGTATTTAATGAAACTAATGTTTAAACATCCCTAAAGGGTTTGCTGGGGCCTAGAACAACTCTGTGTACAAAAGAAATGTATAAGTAAATGGGCTGTGGAGCAGCTGCTCACACTGTGTGTATGAAATAAATGTAATAAATTCATGTTGGACATTTCTGACCTGATCCACATCCAGCCCTTCAATTAATCCCCTTCTGCCATTCTCAGGACATGGAGGAAAAACATTTCCACCGGTTAAATAAGGAAACACAAACCATTAAAGAACTTCTGGAGTCCTTAATTCTAAAGAAGTGAAGAATTTATTAATTACAAATTATGTTTTCCAATGGAAAATGAGCTTCCTGCGAGAGTGGCTTTTCTAATCCCCCTCATTTCACAGTGCACAGGAAAACCACCCAGCATTTTAATTTCTGCACAAAACCTGCCCTGTCAGAGAGAGCTCAGCTGTGTCCTCCTAGGGGGGTCTCAGCTACACAATGTCCAGGCACAGGCAAAGAGACAAAAAGAGGGTGGAGAGAAGCAGGTGGGACTGCAGGCATGTCAAAGGTCCTGCAGGATTTGGCAAAAGGAAGAAGAAGGGACAAACCAAACAAAAATCCACTCTGTGCAGCCAGCAGCAAAGCCCAGGACAGCTCTTTGTTCCCAGGGCTGCCAACAGCTCCCAGGGGGAAATTCCCTTTGCAGGAGGTTTTTTTTTTTCAGGTTTTCCCTCAGACACTGCCCAGCTCACCCTGGGGACAAGGAGCTGGGTCAGAAATTCTGGCAGGGACAGAAATCCACGTTCCAAACCCTGAGAGTGAGTTCACAGCAGCAGCAGCATCCCCAGGGGATGGGGATTCCCAGAGCTGCCCTGCATTCCTGGGCACTGTGGCCTCAGGGCTCTGCTGTTCCCTGGGCCTGAAGGGACCCTAAATCCCATCCATCCCACCCCCTGCCACGTCCAGGGACACCTTCCACTGCCCCAGGCTGCTCCAAGCCCCATCCAAGCTGGAACACTTCCAGGGATCCTGGGCAGCCACAGCTGCTCTGGGACTTCCATCCCAGCCCCTCCCCACCTTCACAGGGAAGAATTCCTTCCCAAGATCCCACCTAACCCTGCCCTCTGGCAGTCTGAAGCCACTCCTGTCCCCCCATCCCATGGAAATAATCCCTCTCCCCTTTCCCTGCCAGCTCCTTCAGGTCCCCCCAAAGCTTCTCCTCTGCAGGCTCTACACAGAGTGACACCAAAATCCTCTTTCCTGCCCCAAAATCACCTGCCCACCCCACCCCAGCAGCTCCAAGAGTCAGGAGAAGCTGGTTTTAAAACCTTTTAGATAAAACCTTCTTTTTATCCCCCAGAACCTCGCAGGAGCAGACAGCTGCAGCTGCTCCTGGTGGAGCAGGACGTCCCCAAACCTTCCAGCCCAGGAAAACAGCCAAACAATGCTCTGAGAAACAGCTCTGGGAATGTGGAGGGGCTTCAGCAAACTGGGAATCCTGCAAGGCTCTGCAGCCCCCCACACACCCAGGAACTGCAGCTGCCTGTGGCATGGAAATCCCAGGGCTTGAGCATCTTCTGCTCCCACATCTGAGCCTCTGCCTCCTCTCTGCCTTGTCTAAAAACTATTTAAATTTCATTTTACTCACATCAAGGGACCCTGAAATGCCACCCCAAGGGCCTGACAGATTTCTGGTACCTGGAGTGTTACAAACCTGCACAAATTAGTGCTAAAACCCCAATTCTGCTCCTTATTTTAACCAGCAGAAAGAAAGAAGCACTTTCTGTCTCCATTCCATGCTGGCTGGGCTCCTGATTGCTGCTGTGGAGTTTGGGATTTGTTCCCAGCTGCTGGCCAGGGCTGTTCTCTCTCTGTTCAGAGAATCCTGAACCCCTCTCCAGGGACAGAACCCCCTCCCCAGGTGCTGCTCTCTCTCCACACCAACCACACAAAGTTACAGATATGATTTTAATAACTGTGATTTTGTGAGAAACATCTCAGCCTCAGGCAGGGATCTCCCTCTGTGGATGGGGGGAAACCCACAAAAAGCTGATCCCAGATCTACAACGAGCTCAATTAATCCAGTTAGAGGGCAAATCACACAGTTTTTTAGTACCAGGATTATTTTGCTGCACTTCAGCAAACTGCAAAGCTCTGACCAAGCGTCTACACTCTACAACACTGGAAATGAGGGGGTTTGTAAAACAAAATAAACCCACAGGCTTTTGTGTGTGACACACCTGGCCCAAGTTTTAAATCCAGACAGGAAAGTTCCCAGCTCACAAAGAACGAGCTCTGAACCAACACAGCAGAGCAGAAAAGGCAGAGTCAGACACGAGTGAGGGCAGGATTTTGTCTGTCCCTGTGAGAATTCTGCCAGGAATTCACCCAGCTGAGAGGGCTGGAGACATTCTGGACAGAAGTTCAAGGGAGAGACCCCTGATTTTAGGAGAGCATCAGAGGGGATGGATTTCCTATCCCAATGGATTTCCTCTCCCAATGGATTTCCTATCCCAATGGATTTCCTGTTCCAATGGATTTTATATCCCAATGGATTTCCTGTCCCAATGGATTTCCTATCCCAATGGATTTCCTGCTCCAATGGATTTCCTGTCCCAATTGATTTCCTGTCCCAATGGATTTCCTATCCCAATGGATTTCCTGCTCCAATGGATTTTATATCCCAATGGATTTTATATCCCAATGGATTTCCCATCCCAATGGTTTTCCTGTCCCAATGGATTTCCTATCCCAATGGATTTCCTGCTCCAATGGATTTCCCATCCCAATGGATTTCCCATCCCAATGGATTTCTTATCCCAATGGATCTCCCATCCCAATGGATCTCCTGTTCCAATGGATTTCCTATCACAAAGAATTCATTGGGGTTGTTGTATCAAGTTTTTTGTGGTTTTTTAGGTTTGGGTTTTTTATTTTTTGGAGGGTTTTGTTTTTGTTTTGCTTTTTTTTTGGTGGGAAGTTCTGTTTTTTTTTTCAAAGAAGCAATGCAAAAAATCTGAATTTTTGCCAAAATCTCTGACTTTTGCCCAAGGGAACTCCCAGAATTTGACACCAAAGATGGCTCTCCTGCACCAATTTAGCCCAGGCATTAATCCTGCCACACTCACAGTTAGCCAGGAAGATGATTAAGCATCAGTAATAACAACTCTGCTGCCCAGCTAACTCCACCCAAGCCAAGATTTCCTGTTGGAACAGCGAGGGAAGGGATGTGTGTGGCAGCACAGTGCAGTTCCAGGGGGGTCAGAGGAGCACTGGCACTGCGTGTGCCCAGCTCCACCAGGAGCAGCCAGGCAGGGACAAGGAGAAGGAGCAGCAGCAGTGCCCCCAGGGGATCCCAGCAGATGTTTATGGTCAGAGCAGCACAGCAGGAAAACCTTCCAGGCACTGGAATCCACATGCAAAAGCCCCCAGAGACATCTGGGCAATCAGCAGGATGGTCTCTGACAAATCTTCTCTTTCTTTTTACAGTCTGTGGGTTTGTGGACGGGGCCTCCTTTTGCACAAGATCAGCACCAGATGTGCAGAGAAATCAGTAAGAAGCAGGATCTTAAAGGCTTTCAACATTGCACCTTCCTTTGATGAAAACAGCAAGCAAACAACACAAAAAAAATATCTTTCTTTACATCCATTTAAAAGGGCAAATTCATTACAAGTAACAAAAAAAAAAAGAACGTTAAAGAGAAAAAACTTGGCTTAAACCTTTTTTCCTTGTTACAAAATACTGACTCTTTCAAATTAAACATTTTTTTTAAGTGTTCTGTTTTTTGTTTTTTTCTCTGAACTGACACGATCCTCTGAAGCAAAATTATCTCCTTCCACACCTTGGTGGGACCCAGGCCTTCCCAAGCAAATATTGCTTTATTTGACTCTTTTTTTGTTTATTTTTTTTTTTTTTTTTGAAAGTTTCTAACAGAGCAAAAGCAGAGTCACTGCAGAAAGAAGCAATGAGACAAAGGAGGACGACGTTGATGGACTTCCCAAGGTCGCTGCAGGTGCCAGACAATGGTTCCCAGGAGGGGGGAATATGGTTGTTTTAAAAACAAATTTGGTGCATGTGGCAAGCGTGGATGTTCCCCGTGAGATCCAAGGTGACCATGGATGACAGACATAGGAAAGGAATTGGGGGAAAAGGGAGAGGGGAGGGAAAGAAAGGAAGAGAGGAAGAAAAAAAGAAAGAAAAAGAGAGAGAAAGAGAGAGAGAGAGAGAAAGAGAGAGAAAAATAGATAAAAAAAATTAGGTCATAAATACAGAAAACATAAGAATCAAAGGTTTATTTAATCTCGTAAATTAAAATGGCTCAGGGTTCAAGGAGCAGCACATTCACCACAAAAGGGGCAGAAGCTCAGCAAAGCCCAAAGCTGCAGAGCAGGGTCCAAGGCAGGGCGGGTGGGGGGTGCAAGCAGATGAGATTAAAAATGAAGGGACAGAAGGGAGATGGTGTCTGGAGCCTGAGAGCACAACGCTGCCTTCAACAGGGAAAAAAAGGGAAAACAAGAAAAGCTTTGGTGCAGCAGAGAATCCACCTGCCTGTCCAAGCCCTGCCCCAAAGCCTGGATAAAAAATCCACTTTATCCTGAAGGAGCACCAAGGTCTCAGCAATCTCTGACTTTGCCATTCAGCCTCCCAGCTGCTTGGGAACCACTCCAATGCCAGTGTGGTGATTGTTGTTATTGTAATTATTATTGGTATTATTACTGAAAATAACACCCTTGTCCTTGCAGCCACTCAGAACTCTGCACAGGTGAGGGGAACAAAGGACTCCACACAAGAAATGCACATCTTCCTGCAGGGAATCCCTGGTCACTGCTGTCAGGCACAGCACAATTCCTGTTCCAGCACTGGCTCTGACCCCTGCACGGCTCATTCTGAGACAAAAACACAGAAATGCCACGGGAACAACAAGGAAAGGAAAGGAAAGGGACACACAGAGCCTCTTCCCTGCTGCAGCTTGGCAGTAAAACCTGTGGGGCTGCACTGCAGAGGAAAAACCAACCTGTCCCTGGAAATATTCTCCTCAGAATTCAGTCTGGGCACCAGGGGACACCTCGGGAGGCCAAAATGACAAAAACCCAGGAGAGAGAGTGACAGAGGCAGCAACACTGCACAAGGACACAGCACTTGGTGAGGAGCAGCTGAGCTCCAGCTCCTGGGGCAACCCTGCATGCCCAAAAACTGCTTTTCCTCCTGCAACATCTGAGTGGCAGCCTCAGATCCCAGCTCCTCCTGGGCTTCACACCAAGCTAAGCAAGGATTTACTGCAGAGAGGCCAGAGAAGTTTCACCCCTGGTAACAAACTGGCTTTTCCCTGTTTTTTAGAGGGTTCCTGCTCATGTTACGTGGATTTAAAGGGCTGAGAGGGGGAGCAAGGGTTAGAGCTGCTGAAAATGAGAACCACAGAGTGAGTTAATGAGTTACTGAGGGTCCTTCCACCCAAAACTACGCCCTGTTCAAGCACCCCCAGGCTCTCCTTTGGTCCATCTCCCTCCTGCTCACTTCCAGTCCCACTTTTCCCACTTTTTCACCCATTTCTGCGCTCAGCAAGGTGACCTGCCTCAGCCAAGGGGGCTGAGCTGTTCCCTCCAGCCAGGGAATGGGCTCAGGGGAGCAGGGACTGAATTCTCAGGGAAAGACTGAAGGAAACTCTCTGCTTCCAAGAGAAAACGTGAATGAAATCCCACCAGGATGGGCTGGCAGCACCAAGCCTGCCTGTGCAGGGAAGCCTTGACTCAGCACCCCTGTTTTCAACCACCACAACTTCAATTTACAGCTACTGCAGCCACCCATCCTCAGGTTTTGGTTGCTTTGTGTGGGTTTCCCCCCTGCTTTTTTCAAACGTCCACATGTAGGAAAGAAATCCTAACTGTCCTTTCAACAGATCGCCACAAAGTGCTCAGTTCCAGTTTCCCAGCTGAGAGTTCTGCAGGAATTGTCCTCACCCCTCACTTTATGAGCACACCAGTAAGTACAGCCTGTCTTAGCAGCACCCTAAAGCCTTTGAGTTATTTTCTCCTCAACACTGAATCGCTGCTGTTCAAAAATCGCTGTTGTTTGGTAATTTGAACTGAAAAATGTTCTGAGAGATTTTTCACTGCCCTCTCATCCAACTGCCAGCAAACTCCTGATTATCACCTTTACTCCTCCAGAGACGGACTTGGGAAATGTGCCCTGCTAGAGCATCCCCCCGCAGAGCTGAAGGGAACAGCAATTCCACTTTCCGCTCTCAGAAAGCTTTTCCCACCCCACACAAGGAGCCAACATTCCCTGGGAACAGCCAGGCAGGGCGGGGGGGTTTTTGCCACGGGGGAGCACTCCCACATACCTGCCACAGGTATGCACGCAGCCACAACCCTCAGCTTCGGATGGGGGGAACCAACCATGAGAGGATGGGCTGGAAGCAAGCGAGCTCTGGGGGTTACCGGGGCACATTAGGGCAGCTCGGTGGCATTAGGGGCAGCAGGACCCGCGGGGGCTCAGCAGCAGTACCTGGGATGGCCGTGGGCTGCGCGGACGTGCGGAAGGCGTAGTGGGCAGGCTTGGACTTGCCCTGCTGGTTCTCGGCCACCACGTACACCTCGTAGTCGGCGTTCCAGTCCAGGGACTTCAGCATCACGTGGTCGCTGCCCGACGGCAGCCGGATCTCGGGCTTCCACTCCGAGGACTGCTTCTGCAGGGAGGGCACAGGGCACGGCTGTCAAAAGCAGCACTGCCTCGGGATCCACACAAAACTCACTGTGAAAAATGGGTATTTGACAGGGCGTGGCTGTCAAAATCAGCACTGCTCTGGGATCCACGCAAAACTGATCATGAAAAATGGGTATTTTAATTTATTTTATTTCACAGGGCGCGGCTGTCAAAATGGCTGTCAAAATCAGACCTGCCTCGGGATCCACACAAAACTGATCGTGAAAAATGGGTATTTGACAGGGCGTGGCTGTCAAAATCAAACCTGGCTCGGGATCCACACAAAACTGATCGTGAAAAATGTGTATTTTCACTTATTTTATAAACCAGCACTGCCTCGGGATCCACGCAAAACTGATCGTGAAAAATGGGTATTTTATTTTATTTGACAGGGTGTGGCTGTCAAAATCAGCACTGCTCTGGGATCCACACAAAATTAATTGTGAAAAATGGGTATTTTAATTTATTTTATTTCACAGGGTGTGGCTGTCAAAATCAGCACTGGCTCGGGATCCACAGGAAGCTGATTGTAAAAAACGCATATTTTATCTGACAGGGCGTGGCTGCCATAATCAGCACTGATTCTGATATCCACAGGAAGCTGATTGTGAAAAATGCGTATTTTATCTGACAGGGCGTGGCTGTCAAAATCAGCACTGCCTCTGTGATCCACCAAAAGTTGATTGTGAAAAATGTGTATTTTATTTGACAGGGCCTTTGCTGCCATAATCAGCACTGATTCTGATATCCACAGGAAGTTGATTGTGAAAAATGTGTATTTTATTTGACAGGGCACGGCTGTCAAAATCAGCACTGACTCTGATCCACAGAAGGCTGATCAATCTATCTTTGTTAATGTCCCAGACTGCAAGGCCATGTGTATTCTATTTGCCATCTGTTAGATGGTTCTCTTCTGTTCATGGGCCAGTTTTTTCTTGATCTCTCCCACAGCCAATCCTCCCTCCAGGAGATCTCTGCTGTCCATGGCCAGGGAGTGTCCCTGCATGGCTGATAAAATTCCAGCATCCCATGGGGAGATGCTCCGCCCAGGGCAGGAGCCAAGCATTCCTACCTGGATACAATCTGAGGTTTGGAACACCAACACAGCCTTTCCCCTGGATTCCCAGAGGAGCAGCTGCCCTTTCCACTGGATCTCCAGAGGCAGACTCCACCCTCACTTCCTCCTCTCACTCTGCCCCTAACTAAACTATTTCCAGCAGCCAAAACCTGCAAGTTCTGCTCCTACAAAAGCGCTCCTTCACATCTCAGCACTTCAAATTTAAACCAGCTGAGTGGCAGAGACTCCTCTCCTCGATCCAGCCCCTCCCAGAGCCCGGGGGGCTCAGAAGCTCACAGCACAAAGCTGTGTAAGCCACACTTACAGCTTTGTACTTGATCAGGTAGTGCCTGATCGGGGAGCCACCGTCGTCCTGCTTGATGACGTTCACCTTGATGGAGTTGCCATCCTCTCCTATGTGACCTTCCAGCTTGGGGGCACTGGGTTCCCCTGCAACAATGGGGCAGTCAGGGTTATTTGTGGGGAAAAAAAAACAAAAAACAAAAAACAAAAAAAAGGCATTATCACATAAACAAGGAAAAAGTGCTCGTAAAAAATCAGAATACTTTATCATCCTCAGCTCAGGGTATGAGATGACCCAGGCACAGAGGACACTGTGTGTATGAGGTAAATACTTCCCACACCCAAGTGTTTCTTGCATTTGAAACAACGAATTTCCATTTTTGTGTGTGCTGGAATGGAGTCAGAGCGAAAGAGATTCTCTCCTCCCCCAAGAAAACCCCAAAGCAATGAGCAATTCCTCACTGCTTCTGCTGTAAGAACTGCTGTGGAACACCTGGCAAACACCTGGCTGCTCCTGGGGGTGGATGTACAGAGCACCACTGGAAAGGACCTCGTGCCTCTCAGACAGACCCAGGTCTGCACTCTGAATTTGTTTAGGAGTTTTAGAGTTGCTGGACCACTGAAATGAGTGTGAAAACACCTGAACAGGACCCAGAGGACATCCCCTCACTCAGCCTGACTGTGAACTCCAGGGGATGCTGGAGAGAATTCACAGAAACCCCTTTGCTCCTCTGCAACAACCATTTCCAGGAGAAAAAGGCCATCATGTCCCAGGCTGCACCCTGCCACCAGCAGAAAATGGAAATGTCCCTTCCTGTGCAGGACACTCTGATTTACATCCCCAGCCCTGCAACCCACAGCCCCCAAACTGCTTTTCCTGCCCAGCTCCTCAATTCCTCCCTGCCAGGGAGGATCCCAGTCCCACCCTGCAGCTCTGCTAGAAAAGCCAAACACAGAAGGTCCGAGTGCACATTTGCACCCCTGGATTTGTGTCCAGCTCCTCATGGACAGCTCAGGCACTCCTGAGTGGCCACAGGAAGGTTCCTCTCCCAACATCCTTCAAAAGTTCATCTTCAGAAGGAATCTGAAGCCCTTTCCCCTCCCTCCTCCCTTTCAAAGGAATATGAGCACAGTTTTTTGGTGAAACACCAATGGGAAAACTGCAAGGAACTGTGATTGAAGATGAATTCCGTGCTGTTGCACTGTTCCAGGAAGGGAATCCATCAACTCCAGGCATGTGGGACACACACATTTGTGTTTAACAACACAGCAACTCCTCTGATGGATGTAAAGAGGCAACACTCCTTTTTTTCCCAGGCTGTTTTGCTTTTCCAAATCCTTTCCTCTGCCTTTATCCCCAGTGCAGGGCTCCCACACCCCCTGGATGTGGATCCCACCCTGGGACAGCTTTCTCAGTGCACACTGCACAGGAAAAGGTGACACAAGTGTGGTTTAAGGCACAGATAAACAGGAAAACTCCATCCTCACCTGGGCACATCGAACAGATCAGTTAAACAACGATATTCTTTTCCTCCATCCCAAAAGACAAACAGCACCACCAAGTCCCTGCTCTTGGCTGTGGAGCTGAGTGGCAGGAGCTGCTGTGCAGCAACTGAGCTGGCTCATCAGAGCAGGAAAAGCCTGCTTCTGTCACCCTGAGCCCCAAAGCAGCTCCCGGGACAGCCCTGGCCCTGCTCTGGGGGAGCCCTGCCCTGCTGGGCTGAATTCTCACAGTGCTGGGGCACAGGGACAGAGCAAGAGCAGCATCTCCTCGCTCCTTCCCCGCTCCCCCATCTCAGAGATGATCAGTAATGAGCACAGAGATCCTCAAGTGCTGAGGGAACACTGCACTTACAGAATCTGACCTTTTCTCTAACACTGCCTGCATTTTTTTCCCAGTGATTGAGCACTGAAACTAACAGGAACATCCTTTGCAAAGATGCTTATTCTTGATTTCAAATGTCAGAGATGCTGCTGTAGCTTACACACAGCCATTCCCATGATTAATTACCTGTCTGCTGAAACTTTTCTTCACTTTGAATTGTCTAATTTCTAGCTCCTGATTCACTCCTTCCTCCCCCAATAGTTTAAATTCATTTCAGCTTCGAGAAACATTTCTTGTCAAAGAAAAGAACACTCCTAAGTGCTGAAAACCAACAGGTGGAGCAGTGCAAGCCCTGGTACGGCATAGTTTTCTCTCCAGAAATAAGGCTTTATTTCATTTATCTCAAGCAGGTGGATGCAATCCAGACACAGGGCTGTAAAATGAAAACTGGGTTAGTGTGTCAAACAGAGGAGGAAGAGGTTTAGTGGGAAAAGTTTAGTCCAGCAGAATCAGCAACCCTATAATGAGTGAAAATGTGAGTAGCTGCAGAGAGAAGTGGTCAGCAGGAGCTCAGAGCAGGACTCATGCTCAGACATGCATGGGGCTGCAAAGCCAGGGGGGCTCCATGCCAGGGCAGAAACCAGCCTGTCCCTCCCTCCCCTGAGCCCTCCCCAGCCCCTAAAACAGGGCAGTCCTTGAGGGACCCCACGTGCTGCTGCTGCTGGGCTGGTGAGAGCCAGCAGCTCCACAGAGCCCAGATTTCCTGTCTGATCACCAAATATCTGATTGAAGTCCTCTCTGCGCAGGAGGATGCAGGACCTTGTGCTCCCAGTGATTGAGGGACTGAGGCTGATGCTCAAACTTCCCCCCAGGACACTCAGCAAAGGAGAAGAGGGCCAGACAGGAGCTTTAGCTGAGAGAGGAGCAGCCTTTGCTGCGCTGGGATCCAGGACAGCCCAGCCACCCCCACCCTGGGCTCCACAGGAACCCAGGGGGAGCCTGATCAAGAAAATGAGGGTTTTTCTCCAGGCTCCCAAAGCCTGAAGGGCTTCCCAAAGCTGCTGGTGGCAGGGGAGCTGAGGGCAGGGCTCTGAGTCATGACATTTCCAATTTATTTCTCACCCAATCCCAGCTAAGCCATCAGCACTCCGCTCATCTGCTGCTGCAGGGAGCAGGAAATGTTTCCTGGTATCCTCTCAACCCTTTGGTTTCTGTTCAGGGCTTCCTTGCCCTAACACAGCTCTGCTGGATTGCAGAAATTCTTGGTTTAATTTTGTGTTTCAGAGGGTGCCACGAGCACCAGGAGTGGGTGCAACTTGAGGTGGGGAGAAAAGGGAAAATGAAAAATCACTGAAGTTAAATCCAGCTGGCAGCAAGGCAAGGTCCTGCATCCTCCCTGTGCTCAGAGAGCAAACCTGGAGAATTCTGCAGCAGAGGAACGAGGAGAGGGCTGATTTCTGCAACCTTTGAGCACCACGACACCAGAACTGGGAACACACACCAGGCAGAGCCTCCGGGAGGGCAAAAACACAGAGCAAGAACAGGCTGGGCTCGGGGTGCACACGAGGGGAGCAAAGAGCAGAAACAAGGAACAGAAGCAGAGCGTGCAGAAACGAGACAGGCACATCTCCCATCCTGCTGGAAAACCAGCACAGGGAGGGGACAGGGACAGGGACAGGGCTCTGCTGTGCATGCAGCCACGTGGGGAGGTTACTGGTGTTAGTTCTGTTTTCCTGGCAAAGCCCAGCCTAAATCCTTGCCTGGGCGTGGTCCCAGCCAAAAAGGTGATTCCAGAAGTCCTGGATTGTACAAAGCCAATTCCTGCCTGGCTCTCACAGCTCCTCCTTTGGCTGGGGCAGCAGCAGAGCAGGAGCTTTCCTCCCTCCCCTGCTGGGACTGGGCTCAGAGGGAAGTGTGGCAATGCTGCAGGAGCTGCTCTGCACCAGCCCAGCCTGGGCTGCAGGCTGATCCAGCCCAGACACTGCCAGGCTCAATCTCTGCTCCTTGTTCTGCTGGGGACCAGCAGCTCCTGGGAGCTGAGCTCAGCCTAAAGCCTTGCCAGGCTCAATCTTTGCTCCTTGCTGTGCTGGGGACCAGCAGCTCCTGTGAACTGAGCTGAGCTCAAAGCCTTGCCAGGCTCAGTCTTTGCTCCCTGTTCTGCTGGGAACCAGCAGCTCCTGGGAGCTGAGCTCAAAGCCTTGCGAGGCTCTATCTGTGTTCCCTGTTCTGCTGGGGACCAGCAGCTCCTGGGAGCTGAGCTCAAAGCCTTGCCAAGCTCAGTCTTTGCTCCTTGGTTTGTTGGGGACCAGCAGATCCTGTGAGCTGAGCTGAGCTGAGCTCAAAGCCTTGCCAGGCTCAATCTCTGCTCCTTGGTTTGCTGGGGACCAGCAGCTCCTCTGAGCTGAGAGCCTTGCCAGGCTTAATCTGTGTTCCCTGTTCTGCTGGGGACCAGCAGCTCCTGGGAGCTGAGCTCAAAGCCTTGCCAGGCTCAGTCTTTGCTCCTTGCTTTGTTGGGGACCAGCAGCTCCTGTGAGCTCAGCTCAAAGCCTTGCCAGGCTCCCAGAGCCTCAGTGGGAGGAATGAGGGGCTCTGGCAGGAGCCAGACTTTCCCTCTGCTGAGATCTGTGTGAGGTCTGGCTCCCACCTCGGACCCTGTGTGTGCTGTTTCACAGGATTTATATGCAGAGTTTTATACAGAGAGAGGATTTTATAATAGCATTTTACAGAGAGACTATTTCATAGCACAGCTCTCATTCTAGCTATGTTTAAGTTTTACTCACAATAAAAAGAAAATGGTTTCTTAAATCAAATTGTGACATACTCCAAATAAGCAGATTTCAGAGAATTCAGGATTTTTTTGGAAGGCTACTAAACATGTACAGCGTGGATGTGTGCACATATCTCTACATAAATGTGTATTTTAGAGGGTTAAAATGCTGCTAAAGCAACAGGAGAGAGGGTGCTCCCAGAATTTGAGCCCTCATTTCCCATCAGATTCGGGTCTGTGGTTGGTCCCACAGAGAGGCAAAAGGATTTTGGCCTTTGGTGCTCATTCCAGAGGATTTTTAGCACCTTCCTAGAACAGTTCCTTGCTGGACTCTGAGAGTGAAGAAGCAAATGACTGAGCCAGGTGATTTTTTGGGGTTTTTTTTTCCCTGTTTTCCCTCCAAGTCTTTTCCAGCTCAAGGCAGAGGACTGAAGTCGTGTTCTTCCCATGCAGACAGTGAGGAGCAACTCCTCCAAAGAGGCTCAGTGGGATTTTTTTTATTTATTTATTTTTTTTTTTTTTTTGGAATTTGGAGATCCCACAGGGGAATCATCACCCCAAAAATCTAGGCAACCAATCAGAACAAAGTGTTTTACCTTCTGTTCACCAGCGAGGACGACATCATCAGCACCATGCAAGCCACATGACAAATTCACATGATACGCACGCACATGAGTTTGGTTGAAAGGAAAGTGGAGGAGGTCACATGGAAAATACAAAAAAATTAAAAAACTGATGTAAACAATGGGCAAGGGAAAAAAAATCAACAACAGAATTACAGAGTAAATAAAAATAGAAGCAAAATTAAATTAGCCAGCATATATCAGAAACACCGGGGGGGACAGTAAAACCGCCTGGAAAATAAGAATATTAAACCACAGCAAGCACTGAGTTATGGCCTTGTGTTAGGCACAGCTGCGTCACTGCTTAGTCATACAAGGAACAAAAGGGACAAAAATCATTGTGCTGTGTGCCAGGACTGCTGGAGGGATCCACAAAACTGCTGGGAAGAAAAAGGGAATATTGTTATTCCGAGGCAGCGGAGGTGAAAGGGTGAAAAGCAGCCCAAAACGAGGACAAACCCTGGCACCCCACAGCGGTGTGTCCTCCCTCTGCAGCACAAACTGCTCCTGACCAACAACAACAACTGCAGGAGAGAAAACCCTGCTGAGGTGACCACAGCCAAGGACACTTTTCTCATCCAGGAGCTGCGGCGGGACGGGAGGAGAGGCAGAGCAGGGACACCGAGGGGCTGCGTGGGCAGGGGGGCTCTGCCAGCCCAGCCAGGACAGGGAATCCATCACCACCAGGCCCAGGGAAGGCAGCAGCTGCTGGGAGGGATGGGCAGTGCAGGGACAGTGGCAGGGAATGAGGAAAAATCAGCTGCCAGCCCAAGTTCCCTTCCCAGATCGCTCCAAACTCGAATTTCTCACGCTCGTGCCTCTGTCTCATCCTAATGAGGCCACTCCACAGTGCTCTGGTAGTTCCCTGCTAATTTGATGTATAGAGAATTAAACCCTTAATCTTGTGGGTGCTTGGCTCTGACAAGATTAAGGACAGACCATTACCGGGGAAAAAACTGATGGCACAAAATGTAAAATCCATTTGTTACAGCCAAGCTCTCAATCCATTCTCTTTAAACACAGGCTCACAGAACTCTGGGCACTGTGGAGGAGGGAGGCTTAGGAGTTGCTGTGAGTTGCCTGGAAGGAAGATCCGTGTCTTCTGGTCAGGAAGAAACCTCTCCCCAACTGCAGGAAACTCAATATAACCTGAGATTTCAAACCAGGCAAGAGAGGCGTCCTGTCCTCAGGAGAGGAGCTTTAGGTAAAGATCAAGGGCAGAGTTAGCAGCATAAAGAGAATAAAATGGTTTAGGCTGGAAGGAACCTTAAAGATTATCCAGTCCTAGGCAGGGGCACTTTCCAGCACAGCAGGTTGCTCCAAGCCCCCTCCAACCTGAAAAAAAATCCCCTTTTTCAAGTGAGCTCAACCACTGCAAGGCAAAGCAGGTCCCAGAGAGGAGAGAGCTGCAAGAAAAACGTCAAAACTGGCACAGAACTATTTCCTGGAGCAACCTCAGAGGGTTAAATCCAAGGAGAGACATTCCTAAACCTCCCCCATGCCCACAGACATCTCCCACGCGCCCCTGATCCCCCTGATCCCACACCCCAAAAAGCCAGCGCAGCCTCATTAGGTTTCCGTCCCTGCCTCCGTGGTGCCACAGGGCAGCTCTCATCCCCTGATTGCTGCTGCTTCCATCACTGACCCTCAGGAGAGGCCAGGGGACAGCACAGATCACTCCCACAGCAGCAGCAATTAAATGATGCAGAGCTGGAGGAGCATCTGCCCCGTGCCACTGCCCTTCCTCTGCTGCTCAATTCCTCCTTGGACACCAACGTGGGCAGTGCCTGCACGAGTGGAGTGTACACACAAAGAACAGCTCAGCCCCAGGGCAGGGGAAAGGGGAACGTTCACCCTCCTCCTCCTCCTCCTCCTCACACAGCTCCCATGCCAACAGAACCGTGGAAAATGTTTATCATTAGGAGCTTCTCTGGGTAAAGATTCTCTTTTTTAAGAACAAACTGTTCTGTCAAACGTGAACCCCAGGTTTTCCCTCCAAGGGAAGCTGTCCAGCCCACACAGGAACGGCCAGGAGGGAGACTCTGCCTGCTGAGGAATGAAGATGATGAGCAGAGCCTGCCCTTCGGCCTCTCCAGCCCATCCTCCAAGGCTGGCAGGAATGAAAAGGTCTCTTCAGCCCCTGAGTGCAGCAGGGGTTGGGGTTTGGCACTTTGGAAATGAAAATTACTGCACAAGGAACACGCTGCTGGCAGGTAAAGGACATTTAAAGCCACCTGTGAGACCATGAAACGTGCCAGCCATAAATGCATTCATTATAATTAATTATAAAGTTATTTGACTGGCCACACTGTCCTCTCCCTCCATCCCAACCCCAAGATCATCCCACACTTCATGCTGGGAGTGTTCTCCATCCAGAAAACCATTCCTGCCCCAGCTCAGGTGAACACCTCAGCGGCCTCACATGCCACAAACACACTTTGGATTATTGCAAGTCACAAGAAGAGCACTTGGCTTGGCAGAGATCGTTAGTGGCTCAAACCACACCCATGCACCAGGTAACTCAGAGCTTCACTGAGGGGTCTTCTCCTCCCTTGACCACCCTACCAAGGCAGTCCCCATCTCAGATATGGAATCTTCTGGAAGCCTGAGGCCTCTTTTAAGGCAAGCAGGGCCCTGGGATCTCTCCTGCAGGATTTTTTACGTCCTCATTTGCATCTTCTTCCAGCATCCAATACCCCTAATTTTAATATCAACTCTAGCTCCCTATATTCAAAGCAAACAGAGCAAGGCAGGGCAGCAAGAAAACGATTTCATGCACATCCCTTCTGCAAAAGGCAGCTGCAACACCAAAACGGGGAGGGCAAAAGCAAAACATCCCTTTTGGAAAGGATGATCTGGGGGGGGTTACTCCTCCTCCTCTCCCTTCTCTGTGCTTCTCCTAACCCTTTCATTCCCATTTTTCAGCCGCTGCTCGGCAGCACGGGGGGAAGAGGGGGCAGCATGCTGGGGTGTGGACATGCTGACACGGCACACTGCTGTCACAGCCAGCCCAGCACGCCCCAGGGCCCTGGCACTGGGGCACCCCGGGCTCCAGCAGCCCCCAGAGCAGCCCCAGAGCAGCCCCAGGTACTCACTCGGTGCCGGGGATGCAGCGGCAGCTGGGGTTGCTATGGAAACAGAAGGATGCACAGGGCAGTCAGGGTGGGAACCAGGGGGTGACAGCAGGGAAACAGAGCAGCTTCGAGGAGATGGGCACTCAGGGGGACAGCCAGACCTGGTGGCAGGGCTGTGTCACCCAGGGAAGCTGCAGAAATCCTGCCCTGCTGCAGGGAGGGGGGTCCTGGCAGCCCCAGGGGGGTCCTGGCAGCCCCAGGGCCCTCCAGGGCATGGGGAAGGACAGCCTGCCCTGAGGCTTTCCTCATCCCCAAGAGTTCTGGAGCTCCAAATCCCCGTTTTTGCCTCCTTTTGACTCCACCCTGCCCATCAGTGGAATATTTGGGAGGCCTCTAGGGGCAGCTCCTGAGGAGAACTGAGCTCCTGCTTGTTCCCACCTCCCTGCACGACACCCAGGGACACAGAGAGAGGAGGAGAACAGGGCTAAGAACCCCAAAAATGTGAACACCTCGGGAAAGAAATGGGTCTGGAGAGAAGCCTGCACTCCCCAGGGCACAGCAGGACTTGCAGGGCAGGAGGACAAGGAATGTCTTTGCTCCAGAAGTCCTGGGAAGAGCCTGGCAGGGGGACACAGGCTGGGAGGGATTGATTTCTCTGTTAGTCCCCACAAAACCAAAGGAACTCTCACTGCTGTGCCTACAAGAGGCAGGGACACGAGAAGGGGAAATCAGACCTTGGGAAGCTGCAGAGCAGCTCCAGGGAGGGAGATCTGGGGGGGAAAAAATCTCCAGGGAAGCAGGAGAACATCCAGGGATGTTGCAGTAGGGTGGACTTGATGTGGTAATGATTAGTATTGATTTTATGATTTTAGAAGTTTGAATATTTGTTTGATTACACTGTACTATACTACACTATTCTACTAAGAAAAACTCAATGCCTTTGCAATGGGTATCTAGATACACAATTTCAAGAATCTTTTTCCTAGGCAGAAATGATAAGATTATTGAAAAGCATGTTCGTTTATTACTACTCTTTTTTTTTTTTGTTTGCCAAAATTTACTGCCTCATCATTGCGTGGTAGAATAATATGTAGTTTTATTTTACATATATCTTATACAGTTTATATGAATTTTATATGACTTCCTTAGAATCCAAGTGCTTAGCAAGATAAATTAAATTTGCATTCTGACCATCTAGAGCACTGGATCACTCCCTGCTTTTCAGTTTTTTAGGCACGGATCCTTCTGAGCTGCTTGACATTTTTACCTCCTTGATTTCAGTCCAATACACTCCAATCAAGGAGACAGTCCAATCCAGCTTTGACCTCACTGGTCCTGGAATCTGAAACTATCACTAGTGGCTAATTAAGGAATCACCCTTTGGTGAACAAATCCCCGTGACACATTCCACGCGTGCACCAGCCAAGAATTGTTTCCCATTCTTTTTCCTGAGCTTTCTCACAGCTTCCCAGGAAAATCCAGGTTTGAGATGAGCACCCAGGGGTGTCAGAGATGCAGCACACGGTGAGGAGATCATGCAGAGCCCTCCTGCCATACTCACTGCCTGCTGGAGGGGAGCTGGGGGCAGCAGCACTGGCTGGAGAAGAGAAACCAGGTGAACATTGCTGGAAATGCTGCCAGAGCCAGGAAAGGAGCACACGGGGAGCTGGGCTGGTTGCAGTTTGTGCATTTTTGTGTTTTGGCACCACACACATGCTCTCTTTGAACGCTTTTGGGTTCAAAGCCCACCCCTGCTCCCCAGGACTTTGTGTGGCTGCTGATTTGTGAGGAAAGGGAAATGAAGAAAAGCAGTAAATGGTTAAAATGAAAATACAAACCCAGGTCAACTCAGATGCTCTCCCAACCTCCAGAGCTCTCATCTGTGCCACTATAATCCATAATTATCCCTAATTACCTCATGGAGAGGCCCTCTAAGATAGACAGAAACTTCTTTTTCTTATTGAGGGAAATTAGATAAATCAAAATTACTTCAGACTTATCCCAGCAGGCATTAAAAACTGTGTCAGGTTTTACATTCAGACAGAAACTTTAAATAATAGGGCAAAGAAAATAAGTGGCCCTGGTTAATCTGAGCTGTAAAATTCCTGAGACATCTCTGTGACCTTCAAATCACACTTGAGGGGACAAAAATTCCTCCTACTTGTGACTCTGCTCACGAAGAGGTGATTGGAATTCCAGCAGAGATGGAAAAAAGGCATTTTTGTGGTGCCATTTCCTCAGGCAGGGTCCGAGCTGGGCTCTGGGAAGGAGCAGAGAGAAGTGGGGACAGTGCCCAGGAGGATCCCAGCTGCAAAGCTTCGAGAGCAGGATGGAATTGTGGATGAAAAATGAGTTAAAGGAGGAAGAAGTGCAACTTACCCTGCACTGGGGAGCACAGAGGGACTGGCAGCCCACTGACACGTGAAAATAAAAAAAAAAGCAAAATACTCCAGTGCAGAAGTGCTGGAATGTTGTGCAAAGCCACCTACCTGTCCCCAGGCTGGCCCTGGGGCTGGGCACACAGCTCTGGGGCTGCAGCAGAGCTGTCCTTGCTCTTTTTCCTCTCTTCTCAGCTGCATTTCCCCCTTTTCCTGCAGCTCTGCTGGGGATCCCCACCCTGCTCTCCCTGGGGATTTTATCTCCAGCTCAGGAGGGCCCCAATCCTCAGCCTGGGCTCTAACCCTGACCACCACCCTCATGTCATTACTTTTTTTTTTTTTTTTTTTTTTTGTATTTTTGTAATTTTTGTATATTTTTGTTTATCGTATTTTTATTTTTTATTGCTCCTGGAATTAAGAGGATCCCAACAATCTCAGCCTGCACAAATGCTCTGGAAATGCCTCCCAGTGCTCCCTAACTGCTGCAGTTTGCTGCCCTGCCTGTCCATCTGTCCATCCATCCCTCCCCTGCCTGCTCCCCTGCATCCAATTCTGTCCAGTGCAATCTTTTAAGGGGAAATGGCACAAACAGGATCCAAAATTTGGGTTCAAAATAAAAATATCAAAAGATCCTCTCCTGTTTTTCACTTCAGGAAATCTCAAAGAGGCTTCTTCGAGCTTGTCCTTGTAATCTTGGGAGTCACAGCAGCTCCCCAGGAGGATGCACTGATCAATGCAATAATGCTCACTGGGATAAAGAGATTTTTTAGCTCCATTGATCAGGTTTGATTGGAAAGGCACAAAGCAACGGAGCCATCTCCATATTTCACTCACAATTACACAAATCCATCACATTCCTGGCTCGTTTTCCATGGGGAAGTGGGGAACATGCCATTTTTAAAAAATTTAGTATGAGGTTTATTTATTTAATCACACAATCTACACAAGTGCTGGAAGACTGTCCAATGGTAAAAACCATTAGTGAGAAGAGGAAAAGAAATTGAATTTTTTTCTTCAATTTTGTGCTTTCAAAATTGTGGAGATATTCAAAATATTGAAGTTTTTGGTTGGCTCTGGTCTAAACCAGATCTGCAATTCAGCTGAATTGATTTCCCTGAATTATCTCAGTATCATTAAAATTGAACTATTTTTAATGGATTCATAAATGTGAAGCCTTCCACTACTCCACACTGAGTCAACAAGCTAACTATTATTATTTTTATTATTATTATGATTAGATAATCACTACATTAAATATTTCAACTTCATGCTGCAGAGCACAGACAAAGACAAACCCTAATTCTGTTCTAAACAAGAGCAGTGGCTACTCCAGAGTCAGTGTTGTTAGGAAATGAACACTACCAGTTACTCCAATCCTACAGCCCCTGAGAGGAAAAAGGCACTAAATTAAAAGTTCTGGGTGTTAGAGGAACACTCTAAAAACACAAAAAGAGAGTGAAAGAAATGCAGAGAGCACTTACGTGGGTGAGGGATGCCTGCAGTTTATCCATGGATGGGACACAGACCAAAAACGAAATAAAAAGACAGAAATAGACACACACATACAAAAAAAAAAAAAAAATGTAGAAGATGTGAGGTGACAGAGAATATGGAGCTGGAAAATCAGCATCCAGGTGAGCCCTGCTCAGCAGGGATGGGCAGAGCCTGGGCACAGCTCAGGGACTCCAGACATGCTCAGGGTGGGCTGGGACAGCCCTGGGTCCAGCAGAGGGGTCTGGAGAGAGAATTCCAGCACGGGGCTGGGAACAACAGTCAGGGCTGGATGCAGGAGAAAGGGAAAGCAGAACACCTCTCCCTGCCCTGGTCACACCTGCCCTGCCCACTCCACCTTTAATCCTTTCCTCCTAATCTCCTTCCCACCCTGAGCTGGGATTTATTGCTCCCTCAGATTTATTTCTTCCCTGGGAGAGCAGGACAGTGCTGGGCCACAGCAGAACACGGGAATGGCCCAGGCAGAGCAGAGAGGAGCCTGAGGAATCCATGGAATCCCCTCAAAGCAGGACAGAGCAGCCCTCCCTCCCTTCACCTTCACAGCCCAAGGCCAGTCCTGTGCTGAGCACCTCAAAGTGGAAAACAAAGCAGCCTTGTGACACTGACAGCACACTCTCTGTGACCAAAACCCTCCTCAGCTGCCTTTCCTCATTAAAATTCTCCTTCAGAGCCCCTTCTCCTTGGCACCACCAAGGCTGAACTGGAAACACCAACCAGCTCACACGAAAACAACTCCTCCCTTTTAATTACCAACAAAACCCACCCCAACCCAAACCACAGAGAAAGCAGAGGGTGCAGCGAGGTCTGTGAGAGAGACAAGGTGAGATCCATGCACGGCAGAGGCTCCAGGAGAGGGAGGCTGGGCTGTACTTACGCACTGGCTGTGTCTTGAACTCGGCGGGCAGGCTGAGCTCCCCCACGCCCTTGCCATTGACTGCTGACAGCCTCACTGCATAGGTGGTCTCAGGCTTCAGCCCCGTGATGGTCACTGTCCCCTCCACGTTGGCTGGGGTGGGGGGAAAAAGCAGAGAAAAGCTCAGGACTCCAAGAAAGAAATGAACAAACTTTGTTTTCTCCATGCGGGGAGAGAAGGGATAAATAGAGCTGGCTCTAGCTGGGATCACACCACTCCAGGGGGGAATAAAATCAGAATTTCAGCTCCACGTGGGATTGGTGTGGAGGATTCAGCTCTGGAGCAGAACTCTCCCTGTTACAGCCCTTCCCAGATCAAAATTCTTTTGCTTTATTTGACTCCAAGATGGATTTTGTGCCACAAGCACTGCTATAGATCATTTTAACAGGACGGGTTCGCTGCTGGAATAGCTGAGTTTATTTTCCAAGGGGTGACAGATGAGGGTTCAAAAGCCTCCTGTGGGAAGCAGCAAGAGTGAAAACTGTTATTCCAAACACAGGGTTCTTCACCCTGCTCAGACTGAGCTCCCAGCAAAGCCCAACCCTCATTTCCAGCTGCAAATTCCACGCGTCCCTCACAGCAAATGTTTAAAAACTCCATTGGAGCCTCAAACCAGAACCTGGCTTTTCCCTAGAGGAATTTTTCAGTGCTGGTGGGGAAGGAACCAGGATTTCTTGTCACTCCTACCTTCCTTGGCATCGTAGAGCCTGGAGTGCCAGTCCCCCTCGCCCAGGGCCCTCCACTCCGCCTTGTACCTGAGGATGGGCACCCCGCCCGTGGCCTCGGGCTCCTCAAACTCCACCTGGGCACTGCTGGAGTAGGGCTCCACCCTGCCGATGGAGGGCGAGGACGGCGTGTCTGGGGACAAGGGACAGCCGGTGAGACAGCTGGGAAAGAGCCAGAACACCCCCAACAGCACAGGGCACGGGGGGCTGAGCCGCGGAGAGGGGTTAGGCAGGTTTGGAGATGTTAATTAGGGCACAGGTCTTAATTCTGTCTCCTCTCTAAGAGGCTGGAGACTCCCAGTTCCTTCTCCAATAGGGAACAAGCAGGGCAGTGCAGCAAAAGCATCCTGGATGTCACTCTGTCCCCAGTGTCCCCTGACAGGGCTGTGCAGTGCTGATGTCACTCTGTCCCCAGTGTCCCCTGACAGGGCTGTGCAGTCCTGGTGTCACTCTGTCCCCAGTGTCCCCTGACAGGGCTCTGCAGTGCTGATGTCACTCTGTGTCCCCAGTGTCCCCTGACAGGGCTCTGCAGTGCTGATGTCACTCTGTGTCCCCAGTGTCCCCTGACAGGGCTCTGCAGTGCTGATGTCACTCTGTGTCCCCAGTGTCCCCTGACAGGGCTCTGCAGTGCTGATGTCACTCTGTGTCCCCAGTGTCCCCTGACAGGGCTCTGCAGTGCTGATGTCACTCTGTGTCCCCAGTGTCCCCTGACAGGGCTCTGCAGTGCTGATGTCACTCTGTGTCCCCAGTGTCCCCTGACAGGGCTCTGCAGTGCTGATGTCACTCTGTGTCCCCAGTGTCCCCTGACAGGGCTGTGCAGTGCTGATGTCACTCTGTCCCCAGTGTCCCCAGTGTCCCCTGACCATCCCCAAAGCCCCTGAGGCCGCCCTGGAGCCCTGCCAGGCTGGCCCAGCTCTCAGACCCTGCAGTGCAGCTGCTGAGGGGGCTCTGCCTGAGCTGGAGGGCACAAACCAAAGATCACAGGGAAGAACAAACCCCTGCAGAAACAAGGACCAGAGCTGCTGAGCGGCTCCAGCCCAGCAGGAAATCCGTGAACAGCCCCTCTGAAGGCAGCAGCTGCCCTGCTGCTGCCCCAGGGACAGGAGCCACGTGTCCCTGCCTGGCCTGGCTGCTCACCTGCCTGCACCAGGATGAACTCGGAGGACTCCTGCCCGATGCGGTTCACGGCCGTGCAGTTGTAGTTCCCAAAGTCATTCTCCGAGTCCGGGGTCACCTGTGGGGGAAGGAAGGCTCAGGACGGGATCACAAAACCCTTTTCACTCTGCCAAGGCACCCTGAACTTAGCTGGGGAGAAGCTACAATGAAAGCCAGGTGTTTGTGCTCCCAGGGCTATGCATGGAGAGCTGCAGTGGGCAAAAAGCAGGGACAAGCAGAGAGTGTCTCTTCTGCTACCACATTTCCTCCCATTTCCTGCTCCTCTTGATCTTCTACAACCCGATTTTCTAAGGATTTATATGCTAGAAACACCACCCCAGCTTCATTTCTGCCAAGAGGACAAGACTGAATTCCTCCAACAGCAATTATCTGATGGCACTCCTGGCTTTTCCTCACCTCCAGGTAGCTTGCTGAGGGGGTGTTGTAGATCTTGATGTTGCTGTAGTTGGAGCTGGGCAGGAGCTGCCCATCCCGGAACCAGGAGATGACAGCACTGGGGTAGGCAAACACCTCACAGGTGATGTTCACCTGGTTTCCTTCCCAGGTGTACACGGCCACGGGGCCCTGCAGCTTGGGGGCATCTGAAAGACACGTTTGGGAAGGCAATGGAGCCAGCTGAGCTCCCAAAAAAACCTCCCCGTAAGGATCCCTTGGCTGGAGTCCACCTCAATGCGGGCAGGGGAATATTGGAATATTCCATTAATATTGGAAATGGGAACTGTCCTCTCACCCAGGGCTGGGAACATCTTTTGCTGAAGGGCACAGAGAAACCCTGCTGAGCCCCACGGCTGCTCCTGGGCAGCGTGGGAGGAGCAGGCAGCAGGATGGGGCTGGGAAGGGGGAGAACCAGGGGAGAACTTGATTCCCAACAAACGGGAGGGCAGCAGATCCGTGGTGAGGTGCAAAGAGCACCCAGGCAGGGAGAACACCCTGAGGCATCTCACAGGGAGACTTCCACCCCTCATCCTCAGCAGCACATGGCACAGGGAGGGAACAGGGAATGAACCAGTCCCCGTGAACCCCCAGGGCACCTCCAGGGACATGGCCTGCCAGCACCCAAGCTGGAGATGGGCAGAGAGAACACCCTGAGATATCTCACAGGGAGACTTCCACCCCTTAACCTCAGCACAGGGAGGGAACAGGGAATGAACCAGCCTCCATAAACCCCCAGGGCACTTACACTGCACCTCCAGGGACATGGCAAGCACTGGAGATGGGCAGAGAGAACACCCCACAACCTCTCACAGGGAGACTTCCACCCCTCACCCTCCTCAGCGCACGGCACAGGGAGGGAACAGGGAACGAACCAGCCCCCGTGAAGCCCCCAGGGCACTTACACTGCACCTCCAGGTACATGGCCTGCGAGTCCTGGCCGATGGTGTTGCTGGCCGTGCACACGTACTCGCCCGCGTCCGTGTACTGGATGTCCTTGAGCGTCAGCGAGGAGACGCGCGCGTGGCTGCGCACCACGATCCGCCCGTCCAGCGTCTGCGACAGCACAGCCCGTCAGGACACAGCCAGCAGGGCACACAGCCCGCCAGGACACAGCCAGCAGGGCACACAGCCTGGCACAGCCCCGGGGCAGCCCCAGGATGGCACATACCCTGCCCCAGGATGGCACACAGCCTGCCCCAGGCAACGCCAGGATGGCAGCCCCAGGATGGCAGTCCCAGGATGGCACACCCCCTGCCCTAGGATGGCACACAGCCCACCCCAGTGTGGCACACAGCCTGCCCCTGGCAGCCCCAGGATGTCACACTCCCTGCCCCAGGATGGCACACACATTGCCCCAGCCCCAGGGCCGCCCCAGGATGGCACATCCCCTGCCCCAGGATGGCAGCCCCAGGATGGCACACAGCCTGCCCCAGGATGGCAGTCCCAGGATGGCACACAGCCTGGCACAGGATGGCACACTCCCTGCCCCAGCAGGGCACACAGCCTGCCCCTGGCAGCCCCGCAGCGCTGAGGATCCCTCACCTGAGGCCAGGTGAGAGCACCAGGGGCACCTCCCTGGCACCCAGGGGCAGCTCCCTGGCACCCAGGGCACACTGCAGTGGCTCAGAGCATTTAGGGGAAGGGGCAAACACCAAAAGAAGGACCCAAGGTCAGCCCTGCGTGGCTGGGAACACTGTGTAACTGAGAACAAAGCTTCTCCCCAGGGTGGGAACTGCAGACATCCAGCTCTGGTTAAAAAAAAAAAAAAGGAAACCTCCCCAAAAGCTTCCAGTCAGAGAATCCAGCCCTTCCTGTCCCCTCAGCAATACTGGTTTTATCTCAGTGCCCCTGAAATGGGTAAGGAAGAACAGACCCAGAGCTCAGAGTTGAATCAGGCCAAAAGGAAGCTCAGAACTTTCACCTGAACGTGGCACACCAAGAGAGGAAAGTGCAGTGAAAAGGGCAAGAAAGCCTCTAGAGACAGCCCTGCCTCAAGAAAATTCCAAAATTCCAGAACCATTTCCCACACGCACGAGACTGTGGGGATGCCATTGAAAGAGAGAAACAAGGAGTGTAGAATCCCAGGGGATTGCCAAGGGACTGCAGCCACCCAGCCACCCCAGGCTGCGTGGTTTTCCTCTCCAGTTTGTCACCAAACCCAAGAAAACACCAAGCCAGGGACTCCTCTCTCCCTCCTGCTGCTCCTGCCTCAGCCTGGAAGCTCTCAAGCACCAACTCCCTCCTCTCATTTCTGATTTTGCAGCACAAACACAAGGGAGTAAATCTGGCACCCTCGTGGCTGTGCCTGCTGCCACTCTCCAGGAGCATCTGTTTCCCTGGAAGGTACAGGACAAGTGCTGATAAATGAGTAAAACCCTGAGGATTTCCAACAGCCAAGTGCACAAAAAGCATCTCTGGTGTCTCAGGTGTCAGACTCTGGGCCTGAGCCTCTCTCTGTGCTGAGACTGACAAAGTTTCTACAAATAAATGTCTTTTGTCACCTCAGTTAGCTCCAGTATCAGCTCATGGGCACCAGGCCAATTTCAGATGCACATAAATAGTGTCTTTTGATGGCACATGAACAACTGGGTGTATTTTTCTCCTCTCTCCTTCCCTGCTGCAATCCCTGGCCAGTGCCATGAGCTACAGCCTCCATCCCTGCCCCGGAACAGTTATTCCATGGACTCGTGGTGCTGTGGGCATCATTTCAGAGCCTGACAGGAAACTACAGTGGTACCACACCACCAAAATCTGCTTTTATCTGACTGCTCTGCTCTCCTTCTGCCTGCCTTTGGATTTCCCTCCAAACCCCAGCTCATTCCAGCAGCACCCATGCGTGCCAGGACTCCAGACCTGGGGGAATATTCTCAATATTTGTCTCTCTGAGCTCACCAGAAGAGTGGAAGGCACAAAACACCAGTGTGGGATCACCAGAAAAGGCAGTTTTACACCCAAATGCCTCCTGACTTTGTCCCCACTCCCTCAAGATCCACCACCAAGGAGTGCCAGGAAATCATGGTCAGGGATGATTTCATGAGCAGTGCAACTGATTCTGAAAACAAAGCTCTGGTTTTTTAATGCAAAAAGTCGTAAGGGAAGAAAAAGAGAGATCAGGAAAAACGCTCTAAGGAAGAGAAAAAGGCCTAGCCAAGAAAGCACATCCAAGCTTTCTCTCTCCCTGCTGCAGCCCACCAGGAGCTCTGGCTGCTGGAGACAGGACAGGCAGGAATTTGGGAGCCAGATGTTGACATCTGTAATCCTTCTACTCAAATCCCCCAGTTGCAAGGATCTGGGCTAACAGAGTAACAAACTCCTCATGCTGGGGAGAGCAGCTCAGGGACACAGGGAATCACTCCTCAGAACAGAGCAGGATGTTCTCTATACTGCAAATTACTGCAATTTATCCCGAGCTACTGCAGAATTTCCCCAAATTCTGGCCATGCCCTGGGGCACAGATCACAGCTGGGCAAGAGCTCAGGGCCAAAGGGGGAGAGCAGAGATAAATAAACTGCATTTATCCCCCTCCCATCACCTTCTGGAGCTTTCAGGCCTTTCCCAAACAAGCACCCAGGGATAACTCTGCACAGTCCTGCCTGCTCCTCAGCCACTTCCCACCCCACAAAGCCTTGAAAACCCCAACCCAGGCAGGAATTGCACTGAGGAAGAGGAGGGGTCTCTCCTTGCTCTGTGCTTGCAGAGCAGTGTTTGATATTTGTATTTAACTGCAGCCCTAAATACTCCTGCACCAGTTACCAGTCTGGGGTGTGACTGAGGGTACCCAGAGATGCTGCCAGCACTGACTTCACCTCCTCACCTGAAATTCCTTCAGGAAAAGTGAAATATTTAATGCCAAACATTCCCTGACCTTCATCCTGCTGCTGGAACCCACGGCTAAAAGCCCCCAGGCAACTTCAAAGCAATTTAAAAGCAATTTTAGAGAGATATCCTGCACCCCACTGGGGTATTTTGAGACACAGAGGCAGTAAGAAATGTAGAGACAGCAAACTTAATAGTATTAGTGCTCATATTAATCACAAGCTGGAGAGAGAGAGCACAGAGGAAACACTGGGGCAGGGAGGGGACAGCTGTGACAGGAATTCCTGAGTCCTGGAGAGATGCAGCTACTCAAATTCCAAATTCTTCAGCGCAAACTGCTCAGAGAATCTGATGCCTCCACCTGCCACAAGCCAAGAGATTATTGTGAAGGAAGAATGGGCAGGATCTCCCCATGAAACACAGCTGGGTGGTGCTCAGGTTACAGCCTCACGCTGTTCAGTCTCTGGGATTTAGGATGGCTTCAAAATGATTTAAAAAATCACAGCCTCCACAAAGTTGATCCTAAAAATACAAATCCAAGTCACCCGGTTCTGAGAGCTCATTCTGTTCTCCACCTGACCCCTGTTATTTGCTTGGGATCTTTCCTTCTGGTCCATTTTGAAGCAAGAGTGCTACAAATCAGCTGCATTATTATCATTGTTGTTGTTGTTGTTATGATTAAAGCACAGCACTGAATGTGAAATTAAATCAAACCCCATTTGCACCAACCCCAGTCACTGCATTATCCCACCTCCCCCTCGCTGACCCTTGCAGATCAAAGACAAATGAAAAAAATTTCAGCAATTTGGGGCATTTTCTGGAGAAATGCCCCTCGTGCAAGGTTTCTCTGCATTGGCTTGGAAATGGAACATGATGCAGTTTCCTTTACAGAGACGGTCAAACTGAAATGAAGGAGTGCCATGAGCAAATAGGTGAGTTGGCTGGAGCAGAGGAGGCTTTCCTGGGGAAAAATGACTTTCCCAAAATACAGGTTGGTGCTAATGCTTCCCTCTCTGAAGGAGAGGATGATTCACTGGCAGCACAGAAAAAAAAAATGGTGAAAAGAGCACTTTACATTTGCTTTTCATTTTAATTGCCTTTTCTTTCATTTTGAAGTGACAAGCAGAGTTCCTCACTCCCAACACAGCTACTTTGCTCATCCAAAAATTGCATCACTACATGCCAAGCAATTTCTACCTCTAGAAGCTGCTTCTTGTACATACTGGCATTTAACTGGGTCACATTAATGCTTGTTTAGTTGGTTACTGCACTAGAGATTTGTTAATCTGTAATGCTTAGAAGAGAAACCAAAAACCAACAACCTAAAGAAGTTTGCTAAAGGTCTGGGAATCTGATACCTCTTGTTTCTCGGGCCGGGTCCACGAAGCCTGGAGAGAACAGATATAGAACACAACAACAACAACAGAAAAAAAGCAATAAGAGTTTATCAAAGGTTGCTTTCAGGCACCAGTGTCTGCAGCACATTGAGCTGTGTGCACATGCAGGCTCCAAGCTGAGCATCTCCTGTCTGTGGGGGGGGTCACAGCTTCATTTCCCATCAATTTAGGCTGGCATTCACCACTTCACAGCCTTGCATTGGTCTTTAAATGGCCAAACAAAGGCTGCTGCCACCTCAAGACTGATTTATTACATCAGGGATCGTTTCCTCTGTCACATCTCACCTTTCCTACACACCTGGTGCTCAGGAAGTGGCTCTGGCCACTGCATTGCAGAGGGCAGACCTGGTGGTGTGCCCCTGTTTGCCACCCCACAGCGGTTAATTAACACTGATTAATGTGCTCATCATGCATTTGGAGGCCTGGTTCCATGCAGGCTGTGCCAGGAGGAGGAGGAGGAGCAGCCCCAGAGCTGCAGGGGACCCCCAGCTCCCTGTGCTCAGGGATGGCAGCCCCCAGCCCCACAGCAGTGAAACATGCCCAGACCTTACTGCAAAGCAAATATTTCCCACTCAGAGAAAGGCACCAGCAGCAAGGACCACGCTCCCCGTGGCTCACAGAGAGCCAACTGCCGTGTTCCATCTCCCCTGTCATTTGTATTTCAGCTCTCTCTGATTTGTTCAGGAGTCAAAAGTCACCTGCTGGCACGAGAGGCGGGATGGCACCGCTGGCTGTGAGGCACGGTGACATTGTGGGGGTGTCACAGCACACACGGGTGACAGGGATGGAGATGGGGGCTCAGGGAATGGGAGTCAGAAACAGAGCCCTGCTGGCAGTGAACACTGAGACTGAAATGCCAACAGATGGGACACACACCTCTCTGAGAACGCCTCTGGGGAAAGCAAGCGGGCTCTCTGGGACTGGGAGTGGAGCTCTCAGTCCCTGCAGGGCTGCTCATTTCTGGGGGCACAAATCCTGCTGTGCTTGGAAGCCGAGCAGGAGCCCAAGAATCCAGAATAATCCCTCTGCTCAGTGCCAGGGATGTCCCCGTGAGTCCCCTGCCACTGCTGCTCTCGGCAGTCTCAGCACAGGGAGACACTTTTCATCCCTGGTCTTCAGCCTCAAGGAGGGTGAAGAAGGAGAAGAGCCCATTCCCAAAGGCTCAGAGTTTCCCTGCAGTGACCCTTGGGAGGGGGGAAGAGGCAGAGCCATGTTCCCCACCCCAGGGGAATTGAAGATGCCCCTTCTCCCTGCAGGGAGACTAAATGGCCTTTAAAGGTCCCTCCCAACTCAAACCATCCTGAGATTCCACGGTTCAGAGTTCCAGGGGAATTGAAGATGCCCCTTCTCCCTGCAGGGAGACTAAATGGCCTTTAAAGGTCCCTCCCAACCCAAACCATCCTGTGATTCCACGGTTCAGAGTCTCTCAGCAATGCTGAAGCCAACTCAGAGATGTCAAAATTACCCAAAGAGATGAAATACTGTTGGACACACCAAGCTGATTTTGAGTCTGTTATTATTTCTGTGATCACACATGGATTCTGCCTGTGCTGTGCTCTCTGAAATGTGTCTGCAGCCCACAGGAGCAAGCAGGGCTAATTACCTGTTCCTGTGTGCTTTCCATCTAGGTTTGTTCTTACTTGTTCATATGTGCTTTCCATCTTTATTTTTACTTGTTCATATGTGCTTTCCATCTTTGTTTATTTTTACTTGTTCATATGTGCTTTCCATCTAGGTTTATTTTATGGGTATTAACCTGAAATCGAGTCAGCACAAAAGAAAAAAGATAAACTTTTATCTTTTGTGAAGATAAAAGAGAGAATCCCAGGCTAACTCTTCCTCACCCAGACAGAGCCAGAGCAGCTCCACCCAGCACCACGCAGGCAATGAGGGGCAATCCAAGGCCTCGTGCACCTTCAGATTCCTAAATTCTGAAAATCTCCTCCCTCTGCTTTGGCTGCCCACAGCACAGAGCTGAGAGAGGCAGAACAGCAACCCAGGCAGCAGAGGAAGGATGGGCTGGGCTGTTTCTAGGACAGCACAACGCCGAGATGGAATTCACCTGCCAGACACTGAAATTCAGCCAGGCCCCTCAGATCCATGCAGAAATCTGCATTTTCCTGCTGGAGGAACAGGGAGCCTTGTGGGGCAGCCCTGGGGGAAGGCCCAGGGACAGCACAGGGCTTGAAGTGTGTTCGGGATGCAGGAGGGAGAAATCAGAGCTGATCCCTCTGCTCTTCCCTCCCTGTGTTTTCTGCCCTGCAGGGCGAGCAGCTCCAGGAGATCCAGCCCTGGATAAAGGATCAAGGAGCTGCAGAGTGTTTCCCTCCCACCCCACAGGCTGGGCTGCCCTGCTGGGTGACAAACCCAGCAATGTCCCCACAGCTGCTCCCTGGAGGGACAGCCCAAAATCTGCCAGGAGACACAGCTGAACCAAACCTTCCTTTTTTTGGAGGGGGTTTGGGTGGGTTTTCCAGAATGCTGTGGGAGTTAAACCATCTCTACACCTCAAAAAACCTACACTGAGGGATGACTGCAAGAGCAAACAACACAGAGCAAGACAGAAGCATCCAAGTACCTGGATAACAGAAATGTTCAAAAGTAGGCTTGGTAATTCTTAAAATAGCATTGTTTGTCCTGCACCAAAGACCATCCACTTCCCTGTGCTGTCCCAGAGAGAGAAAGTGGAGAATAAACTGAATATTTGTAACAGAATATTTAATAGAATTAAATATTCTAATAGAATTTGTAGTAGAATATTTAGAGAGCTGTTCTGACCTCAGGATTTTCTGGACATCTGAAGCATTTCCCTCAACTCAGAGCACAAGAGAGAGAATGAGAAAAGTACAAGACAAACCAAAACAAAATGCACACACACACACACACAAGAATCCAGCCTGGAAAGTGCATGGGATGTGAGAAAACAATGTTTGCCCTGAAGGTTTGAACCAGCCCATGAACACATGGCAGCACCTCAAACCTTGGCTTTTCCCCCATCTCAAAGTGTCAGAGCATGAACATTCCCCTTGCTACTGATCACCCACCCAAGAGCATCAAGCAGAGTCTCAAAAATCAGCAAAAATGAGTTAGCAGTTTTGCACTGAGCTGTGATGGTTTAACTGGGCTGCAGAGGGGGGGCTCTTCTACCACCTGGTTCAGCTTTTACATTCTGCTCCCTGCCCAAGCTCTGTCCCTGGCTGGGATCCAAACTCCAGAGCCAGCAGCACTGGAGCCTTGGCACCTGCCAGGGCTGTCCTAACAGAGACAAACCCGGGAATAAATAACCTCAAATCCTGCCCAAGCAGGTGCCCCAGCCAGGCTGCAGCTTCTGCAGGCACTGGAAACCTCTCCCTGAACATTGCAGGGATTCACAGCAGCCCTGGGATCCAAAAGATGCTGACAAAGAAATGAAGCTGGAAAACTCTGGCACCCTGATTAATAAAGTTACACATGAACAACGTGGGGAGGGGCTGACGTCACGGGGGCAATTAAAAAAGCTCATTTAGGAGCTGCAGGGCAGGACAGCAGCTGTGGGGACAAGGGACAGTGGACACCTCTGTTGCTCCAAGACTTTCAGAGTGTCACCTGCTGCCTCCACGCCGAGCCAGAACCCCTGGCATGGCCAAGGCAGCTGAGCCCTCAAGCACCCTGTTATTAGGAGATTATTAATTAGCAACAACTCCTCACTCCTACTTCTGTCTAGGCTCCAAATTCTGTCTCCTGATCACTCATGAAACGTCTCCAGTACAGCAGCACACCCCAGCCTGGTCTAATTAAAGGAATTATTGTCGCCAATAACAACACCAGCAATCCCCTTCAAGAAGAAGAAAAAAACTGCTAATTATTTTTGCCTTTTAAGAACAAAATGGTATTGATGGGATCAACAGAACAGGTGAGCACAAAAGGCAGGCAGGCTTTTGTGCTTCAGGGATGTGCAGTGTCAGAGGGCAGCACGGAGGAGGGACGGACAGGCTCGTTTTGGATCCACTGCCCTCACCTGCCCCTGCCCAGCTCGGGGGTCAGGGGGCTCAGTGCCATCCCCCAGAAGCTCCCTGCAGCTGCAGGAGCTCCTGGGAACAGGGCTCAGGGTGTCTCCAATGGAATTCACCCCCAGTGAACAGAGCAGGGATTGCAGAATGACTCCCCAGCTGTCCTGAGCCGAGCTGGCTCTCACAGGAGGGCACCTGGGGCACTGGCCCTGGTGTGGCACTGGCCCAGGTGTGGCACTGCCCAGGTGTGGCACTGCCCAGGTGAGGCACTGCCCCAGGTGTGGCACTGGCCCTGGGCCCTGCAGGAGCAGGGCCAGCAGCAGGATCTTTTCAAAACTGGGGTGACTCTTACAGGAGGGCACCTGTGCTCCTGCCCCAGGTGTGCCCCTGTCCCAGCTGTGCCCCTGCCCCAGATGTGACACTGTCCCAGCTGTGCCCCTGCCCCAGGCATGCCCCTGCCCCAGGTGTGCCACCCATGCCCCTGTCCCAGGTGTGCCCCTGCCCCAGCTGTGGCCGTGCCCCCAGGCCCTGCAGAGCAGCCCCCCCGTGCCCCCCATGCAGCTGCAGGCCAGGGCCAGGCAGGTGCTGCTCCCACCCCCCGAGGGGCTCGGGGCAGGGCTGTACCTTCTCCTCGCTGCTGATGTTCCTGCTGGAGGTTCTCCAGGTGATGGAGGGGATGGGGTCCCCCGAGGCCTCGCAGGTCAGCGTGATCTGATCCTCCAGCTCCATGGCTGTCTTGTTCTCCACGTAGGTGATTTTGGGTTTGGCTGGGGAGGAGGAGGAGAAAGAGGAGCCTTGGCTCAGGTGGGGCTCAGGGTGAGCTGCTGTCACCAGCAGTGCTGGGAACAAGCAGCACTGGGGACAACTGGGGCCACCTCCTGCCAGCTGGGGAAGGAGCAGAGGGAATTTTACCAGGGCACCTCCTTGCAGAAGGGAAGGAGCTGAAAAACCTCTTGTGCTCATTCTCACAGCTGAGGCTCCAGCAGAGGAGCCCGTTCAGAGTGCACAAACGCTCACCCCGGGATTACCAGCTCCCCCTTCCACCTCCCTGCCCCAAAGCCCCCAAATTCCCCCTGCCCCTTTGCTAAGCAGCTGGGCCAGCTGCACACAGGGCAGGGGGAATTCCAAATTCCTCAACACTTCCAGGCTCCTGGGAGCCAGGGAAGCTCCTGCACACAGGGCAGGGGGAATCCCAAATTCCTCAACACTTCCAGGCCCCTGGGAGCCAGGGAAGCTCCTGCACACAGGGCAGGGACAATTCCATGTTCCTACACACATCCAGGCTCCTGGGAGCCAGGGAAGCTCCTGATTCTCCCCTCCAAGCCTGAGATCACTCCCGCAGTGCTGGGGTGGAGCTCACCTCCCCATCCAGGCTGCAGCAAGCCCCACTCAAGGCTAAAACCCTTTCAACAGCAGCTTTGGTGGATTTGGAAATATCCTGGAGGACATTTCCAGCAGCCTGTGGGTCTGACCCACCAGCCCTGCCTGTGTTTGAGCTGACAGGAGCTGGGATGAGCTCCCCACACACCCAGAGGGGCACAGGCACAGCTGGGGATACCCCCAGCAGGACTAACTGGGACAAAGATCTCCCCCAGCTCCCCCCAGGGTGGGCAGCACCCAGCTGGCTCTTTTGGGGGCTGTTACCAAAGACTTTGAGGTGGATGGTGGCGTCGGCCTCGCCAGCCTTGTTCTCAGCAATGCAGATGTACTCGGCCTCGTCACTCTTGTCCACCCTGTGGATGGTCAGCTCGGAGCCATCCGAGGTGAAGCTGTATTTGTCCTCGTCCTCCACCTCCTCCACGGGCTCTCCATCCCTGGGGGCACAGAGCACACGGGGCTGAGCTGGCAGAAGCCATGCCAGCCTGCTTCAGGCCTGTCCATGCAGTTATTGCACTGCAGCTCGCAGGGAGCAGCCCCTTCTCCTCTCCCCGTGGGCTCCAGAGCTCAGCTGCAGGTTATTCCCAACCCTCCCTGCCCCAGGGCTCTTGGCAGCTGCAGCTCTCCCCTCCTGGCACACCACAGGGCAGCTGTAACCCCACCAAAGGCGGCTCCTTGCACGCCAAGGCACCACTCCAAGCTGCCATCAGCTTTTCCAGGGCAATTTCTGCTCCTAACCTTCACCAAAGGCTGCAGAATTCCAAGAACTCCAGAATTCCAGAGTCCCTGGAGCGGCAGTCACTGCCTGACAGGGCAATGCAGGGAGCTGGGAGGGGACACAGCTGAACAGTGGGGTGCACTGAAGGAATTCCTTGGTTTGCTCTGCTTTATGAAACTGTTTTTATCCCAACCAACAGGATTTTCACCCTCAGATTCTCCTCCCTGCGTGGGCTCTGTGCTCCCAGCCTAACCCACAGCAGAAGGTGGCTTCAGCCCCACCACGAGGCCCTTCTTGTGAGCAAAATCAGCTCATCCCAGCCAGAGCATTCCCTCCCTCAGCCTGGCCTGGCAGGGAAGCACCCCCAGGCCAGCAGCACACTGCACACAGCATCTTACTTGGTCCAGGTGACGGTGGGCTCGGGAAAGCCATCAGCATCACAGGCCAGGGTGACAGACTGGCTGAGGTTGGCAGTGGCATTCATGGTGCTCTGCCTGGCACGCACCGAGGGAGGCACTGCAAGGGAACAGAGCCACGGCTCAGCTGGGGAGGACAAAGGTGGGAGCCACAGGGAGCTCCCTGGGCACCTCTGGTGGCACCAAACCCTGTCAGCAGCACCACCACCAGGGTTTAACCAGTGAGTTTGAGGCATGGCCAAAGTTATCAGCACAGGGGAGGAAGGGCAGCGGGGTGGGAGACACAAAAAACTCAGCATGGTGGCCAGAGCCACTGGTGAGTGCACCAAGCTCAGCTCCTCACTCTAACCTTCAGGTTCCTCGAGGTGTTACTCCTGTAAACACCTGGCAAACACTCCCTGAGCTCCACGAACATTTTTATTGGACACAGCAGAGGAAGAGGATGGTGTGAATGCGAGGCAGCACCTCCTGCAGCAGCCTGGAGTGAGGTGCTGCTGAGCCCCTCACCGTTCACGATGACCTGGATGTCCTTGAAGTTGATCTCCCCTCGGGCCAGGATCCTCCCCTCACACCTGTAGGTGCCCTCATCTGTCTTCTTGATGCCCCGGATCTGCAGGTAGTTGTTGGACAGGACGATGAAGCGCACTGCAAAGCACAAAGGCACAGGGAGCTCGCTCAGCCTCTCCTCTGCTCGGCCCTGCTGGCCCTGGGGGCACAAAACCTCCCTCCCCACCCTGAAACGGAGATGCTGCTGGAGCTGGAACTGCCTCTGCCAGGCAGAAACAGCTGTGGAGAGCAGCCAGCTGCTCTGGGATGTGCTCAGTGAGATGGACAGACTGACAGGTGTCAGCGTCCCATAGACAGCTCTGGGATGTGCTCAGGGAGGTGACAGAGCAGTGCCCCACTAACACAGCTCAAGGACGGCACAGAGCAG